GACCCTCGCGGCGCGGAGGACGGGAGCCTGCCCTTCACCGCGGGACCCCGGTGCTGTGTCCCTGGACATCTGCCCTCCTCCCTGTCTGTCTGCCTCTCTTGACTACCACCTCTCCTACTTTCCGAGTTTTCCGAAGCCAACTTCTCGCGCCCGGCCTGGCTGGCATGTGTCCTGGCGGGTTCCTCGGTCCAGATGTGCGTAGCCTCCTCCCTGCGAGGCGGCCCGAGCAGGGCGGGTTGGCGGCTGGGGGCGCCCCTTCCTGAAGAGCACCCCTCAGTCCTCGCCAGACGGATGCCTCAGGTTGGGCTTCCTGCCATCCTGCTGGACGAGAGAGTCTTCCTGTTGCGGGTGGGGGGGGAGCTGTTTGTTTTCTTTATAAAGTCACTTTGCCTGGTGGGAGGCAACTATATGGATTCTATCTTCCTGTAATCTTAGTTAAATAAGTGAGACCAGAAAGAGATGGGGGAAGAGCCGGCTTTGATGAAGGACCTTCCAGTCCCAGATTAACGTGGCCCGGTGCAGTGAGGCCGGCGGACGTGCCATGGGTACCTGGTTCTCTGTCTGAGCTTGGCCCAGGCGCTTCCTCTGGCCCTGGATACCGCACTGTCCAACCTCTCGCTCTGCCTGTCTGAAACCAGGGATTCTGCCTTGTTGGCTGGGGGTGGCGAGGAATGCAGAACCGCTCTGGCCGGCTGAGGGAACCCTAAGTCAGGCGCTAGGATACACTGAGCCCACCCCCCACTCGGGGCTGGAAGAATCTGCAGGGCGTGGTGAGCACAAAGAGTGCCAGGATTCTCCTAGTGGTCTGAGGCCTGTGACTCAGCGGTGAGACCATGTGGGTGTGGCTGGTTGCAGATACTCTGTGGATGGTTTGGACCGAACACTCCCTGAAGGGAAAGGGCCATCTGTGCCATCTTAGAGGACATTTTCCAAGAGGAAGTGAGTCACACCAGGACTGGCCGCCAGTCTGAAGGAGAGGTTTCTTGATTGAACTGCGGGTGAGGGTAGCAATTAGATCTGCAGGGCCATGGCCAGACTGCTGCTTGGTGTGAGCCCTGTGCGCCTGGCAGCCTGCCTAAGCCTCGCTTGGGAGGTAGCTTTACCGTTAGGAGGTTTGCCGTTGTTGCGGACTTTCTTCTTCCCCTCTCGCAGAAGCTTCAGTTTCAGCCTCCAGGAGTGGGTTTTTATATCCTGTGCTTCGGGTGAGGTCAGGCTCATAGAAACACCCTGTTGGTGATCTTTGCCTCCGACATGTTTCAGCAAATTGCAGTCGATAATGCCAGGGGTTGGGGAGGAATGAGCTTATGTAATTCGTTTGAAACGTCTTCATCAGCCCTGCCCCCACAGATTCCTATCCAGTTTCTGTTTAAATCATCCCTTCTAATGGTATATAAGTTCCTTCACCGCCAGAGGGTACTTTCTTCATGGTGGTCTCTGATCCACCATTTGGAGTTTTCCTATTTCTATTCTTCCAATTTTCTTGGTCTATGGGGCATAAAGCGACTGGTCTCACCCCAATTTCTGTCTAGGTGTAACTCTCACTTGGCTTCTCCTGGATACGTCAGATGGGCCCCTTTCCGCCCATGTCTGGCCCCTGGCCAGCCTCATGAGCAGCCAACTCCAGTGAGGTCAGGCCTTGGGCTGGGTGGAGCTGAGACTGGGTGCCTCCCTGTTTTCCACTGACAGTTCAGAAAAATGTGACTTTTTAAGAGCACTACCCACTTGGTATGCCCTTGGACACAGCCCAGTCAAGTTGAGGGGAACAATGGACTTCTTTCAGGGTTATAATGTATAAATGGTGCTCAAAATGCTGGGAAAGCTGGAGTGAAATTTTAGAATCTTTCTGAAGTTTCTCATTTTTCCAGGGATTCAACAATTTAGGAATTCACATCAAAAGCAAAAAGAAAAGAAAAAAGTAATTAACTCACTTTGTAGCATTCACTATCCCTTCACTAAACTGCCAGTCACCCCACCAGAGGACTTAATAGAAATTGCTACAATACTGTTGTCCGCTGATTTAGGCTAGCGCCTGATAATTCTTCAAGAAGCAATGAATGTACTCGGTTGGGTCAAAGGAGGTTTCTGAGTTCTTTCTTCCTACTGAATTGCATCTGGAACTTTCCTTTGCCCCCCTGTTCTCTAGTGGGCAAGTTTTATTTAGTGAGAGGCGAGAGAGACAGCCTGGATCCTGACCCATTGCTTCAACTCATTCTTTCTGAATTCTCTTTAGGGATCAAATTCAAGAATGCCTTCTGGGTTCAATTTTCACTCACACGAAAAATTTCTTTCCCCAAAATTTCAAATGCAAAACAAAGGAAATCTCAAACATATTTTAAATAACAGATGTTTGTTTTTACTGACACCCTGCCAATTATTTTCTGGGTGGGCTGTAAGTAAACTAGGGTATGGACGAGATACAGAAGAGCAAGTCAGTCAGACCTCTTGCTCTTTAAAAGGGTCCTCTTTGAAAGTGCGGTCTGCATCTGGGCATGGGTCCAGAGCAAACATTTGGGATTGTTCAGGACCAGACACTTTCCTGAGGAGGACTCCTGCTCCCAGGATGACCAGAATTACATTATTGTTCATTTCATCCTTACAATTCATTGAGCAGGCCCTGTGAGGGCTGGGCACTGGCTACTGGATCCCTGCTCAAGGATCCCGCAGTCTAACAAGGAAAGAAACAAGAACACAAATGATTAGAATTCAGGACAGATTTTTAAACAGTATTTAATGAGCGGGTAACTCCTCAAGAGCAAGCATCATAGAAAGTGTGTGTGTGTTCCTGTGCATGTGTGTGTACATTCCTTGTGCCTGACACCATGTCCAGTACATATAAAGTAGGTGCTCATTGTAGGAGAACCAAAACAGAAGACTGAATTCTTCCCACAGAAACTAAATTTATAGAGTCCAAAATCGTTTTCTGTAGAGAAAACTATACTGAGAAAGACTTCTGATCTTTTGCTCTTAAGACCTGTGACTGAGGGCATATACAGGTATAATAATAAAATGACCAATCACCAGTAAGTGGACGGTGAGGCTGTTATATCCTGTGGAACTCAGAATCACAAAGTCGAAGGTGCAATGAATGAAAACTTAAGAAAACAGCCAGAGTCACAAGAGGAGAGAAATCACGTCAGTCTGACCAGACCTGTTTGGCAGGACACACATTTTTTTCCTTTGCATATGGAATGTGCTCTCCTCTGTACTCTACTGTTCCATTCATAGGCGAACCCTTTTGGGGCTCCTTTCCTGGCCCTTCCAGCTCTCACATCCTCCTGCTACAAAGTTTTCAGCCTAGTCCTGGGTAGTCGCATCTGCACCCCAGCTACTGCCAGGGGGATTGTTTGATTCGTTCATTCACTTAATAGTTATTTAGTGCTCCGAGGATATAAGCAGAATAATTTGCAGCTCTTGACCAAGAGGAACTTAAATCTAAGACAGACATGCAAACAATTAAATGTAATCAAGTGTTTCACGTATAGGTGTGGGTTGTTGGGAGCACAGAGAGAACGCTGCTACCCTCAGTCCCAGCCCCAAGACCCTCCTGCCCAACCAGGAAGCAGGAGGCCCATCTCTGTTCAGGATTGGAGCTTATAGGGTGGCTGGGTGGGGGGTGGAAATACCAGATACAGGTCCCTGAAGAACTTCAGCTTTAGCAATCAACTGTCAGCACTGCAGTCAGCCCAGCTGGCCAAGCCCCGCCCAAGAAGGGAGGGCAGAGCAGAGCTGAATCAGTGGGGCAGCTGCTGGCTACATGATTCATCCTGTAGCCCAGAGAGCAGAATTTTAATCACAAGGTTTTCCCCCTTTTCCTCGGTCTTATTTTAAAGCCAACGTGCTGCTCCTTCTTCAAAACTGAGCTCCTTGCTTGGGGCACAGGTTCCTGATGAGACCAACGGTGTCTCCTCTGGTTTCAGTGCTGTTTTCACCTCCTGGCTGGCCCTGCTCTGCACCCTTTTTTTTTTTTTAATCGTAGTCTCTCTCTGTCACCCAGACTAGAGTACAGTAGCACACTCACGGCCACCACAGCCTCAACCTGCTAGGCTCAGGTGATTCTTCCACTCTAACCTTCCAAGGAGCTGGAACCATAGGCATGCGCCACCACACCGGGCTAATTTTTTGATTTATTGTAGAGACAAGGGTTTGAGACCATGTTGCTCAGGCTGGTCTCAAATCCCTGAGCTCAGGCAATCCTCTCGCCTCGATCTCCCAAAGTGCTGGGATTATAGGCATGAGCCACCGCGCCCAGCCTGCTCTGCACTCTTTGCAGAAGGTCCACTGGACACCGAGAGTCAGCTGGCTGCTGTATTCACAGTGCATTTGCTGAATAAAACTGCTGGAGGAGGAGAGGAGGGGACAACTCTATAAGGTAGGGCTGTAGCTTCAGAGAGGAAAACCCCATCGTCTCATAAAAACGTGGGCAGGAAGGGGCAGGATTGGAGCGACCTCAGACCTCAGCACTCCTACAGGGTGAGGTAGATAGACCTCACTCTCTGGAGGAGAAAACCAAGGGTGACCAGAATTTCCTCAGCTTACAACATGTTTTTCTCGGGCATTCCTAAATTGGCCTATTTTTTGTCTGTTGTAGGGATTCTTACTCTGCTGCATCTCCTTTCTTATTTCTCTGGCTGTGCAGTGCATTTTCTTCTGCTCTGTCCCGTGAGGAAAGAAAACTAGGTGCCCCACCCAGTCTCAATTTCTGGAAGCTTTGGGAATCGGTCATGAAGTGCTCTGTTGCCCTGAGCTTGGGCACAGGTATTTTTAAACCTCTGTGGTGTCTGGCTCCTTTCCTGAGTTATTTAAGAACTGGGGTGGGATCCCACATCTTTCTCTCAGAGTAGACTCACTCGGTTCCGTTTTCTTAAGTTGTTGGACCTCCGGAACCAATCTAGGCAAGGCAGATTCTCTCCAAGCCCACTTCCATCTGCAACCCATATGGGGGAAAGGGGATGAGCCAGATCCGAGCTGCGGAGGAAGAGAAGGAGAAGGGTGTGGTTCCCCTGGAATTCATCTCACAGTGGACCTTGAAGCATTGACTCCCTGCTCTCTCCAAGAGAGCTAACTGCCTCCCTGCTGAATCATGGGAGAGTCTCTGGAGTAGCATTCTTTGGCATGCTGGTTCCTGTACTTTTCTAGAGATGAAAGGGTAGAATTTACAATTCTTAAGTATAATTGCTCAATCTTTATGTTTACCAACTCCGCCTTCTTCTCCCTAAAACTTGGCATTGGAGGAATCAGTGTTGAACAGGCATCTGTCAGCAGTAGGAACCAGGCCAAAGCATGTCTCAGGTTCTTGTTAGCGTTCTTCAGCAGGGAAAGTTGCCAGCCTGTCCTTCAGTCTGCGCCCAAAGCCTTTTCTTGTGATTTTCTTGTGTAGTATGTGTGTGTGCCATATTACAATTCACATTCACTTGTTTCCTATCCAGTAATGACTTTAGGTGCTCTATTCTGGTCAAGCAGTCCTTCCAATTAAGCCAAAATTCATTGAGCTCCTAGTAAGTTATCAATCACTGGGTCTTGATGAGACATGTGCCCTTAGTTCATAACACCTGAATGTAGTGATCTGACATGTTTCCTTTCCTTTCTTATAAACTCTTCACAACAAAAAACTCTTGCTCTCCTGCTGCACCTCAGAATGTGAGAGCAGCTCATTTGTCTGGTGCAACCAAAAATATATCAGATCCCTCAAGGAGTTAGTAATATACTGTTACTTTTTCCTTCTCAAGCGAACTAGATAATGGACTTTGAATAGCTTTTATTTAGGTAGGGCAACTGCGTTCTACTGCCAAAGATGCAACAAATAGCAAGTTCAGAACTTTAGTAAGAAATGCGTACCCAACAGACAAATTCATTTGCAAGCTGATGTCTAAACCCTAGAATCAGACTGAACCAGGTTGCCAAGTTGAGCCTAGGAGGTTGAATATCAACCAGGCTTGATTGCGTGGATGGTTGTTATCTAAGAGTCCCATTTACCAGCGCTAAGAGGAATGATGAAATATCTGTACTTTCACTAGGACCTTTGTCAGTTAAAAGAAAGAACACTGATCTTGCTTTTCTAACTGGTTAGAGTTTTTATTCGTCATTAGGTGATTTATGCAGAATTAGCTGGCAGCTAGAGAAACCCCTCATTTAGAGCGCCAGTACCTGGGTGTCTATTTCTACCAGCAAGAGACCTAAAAACTGGGGTGAATTGGTCCTTAGATTAACTGGATTTTACAGCTGGAAAGGATCAAATGGATGATCCTTCCAGTTATTCTCAGAAGACTGGCAATACATGTGGCTTAAAAGTTAATGTAGGGTGGGCATATTGGCTCATGCCTGTAATCCCAGTACTTTGAGAGGCCGAGGCAGGAGGATTGCTTGAGTCCAGGAGTTCGAGACCAGCCTGGGCACATAGCTAGACCTCGTCTCTACAAAAAAATCAGAAAATTAGCTGGGTATGGTGGTGCACACCTGTAGTCCCAGCTTCTTAGGAGGCAGGGGTAGAGGGTTGCCTGAGCCCAGGATGTCAATGCTGTGGTGAGCTGGGATCATTCCACTGCACTTAAGCCTGGATGATAGAGTGAGATGCCGACTCAACAAATAAATAAATAAGCCAGGCTCGGTGGCTCAGCCTGTAATCCCATGCTTTGGGAGGCTGAGGTGAGTGGATTGCCTGAACTCGCAGGTTCAAGACCCACCTGGGCAACTTGGCGAGACTTCATAAATCAAAAAATCAGCCAGTCATGGTAGCGCATGCCTGTAATTCCGGCTACTCAGAAGGCTGAGGTGGAAGGATCGCGGGAGCCCAGCAGGTCGAGGTTTGTGGTGGCCGGGAGCAGCCACTGCACTCCAGTCTGGGCAACAGGGTGAGACTCCAACTCAAAAAAAAAATTAGCTGGGCATGGTAGCGTGCACCTGTAGTTCCAGCTACTTGGAAGGCTGAGGCGGAAGGATCGCCGAAGCCCAGCAGGTCGAGCCTGCGGTGGCCGGGAGCAGCCACTGCACTCCAGTCTGGGTGACAGAGTGAGACTCCAACTCAAAAAATAAATAAATAAATAAATGGAAATCCTGTTTCTTTACATTCTTTAACAGGCTTCAACAGACCTCACCAAAATGCCATCTCAAATGGAACATGCCATGGAAACCATGATGTTTACATTCCACAAATTTGCTGGGGATAAAGGCTACTTAACAAAGGAAGACCTAAGAGTACTCATGGAAAAGGAGTTCCCTGGGTTTTTGGAAGTAAGTGTTGAAAGGCTCAGGAAGAACCAGACACAAAAGTCAGTGCTTCTAGGCCCTCCCTCTTTCTGTCCCTTCCTTGTGGAGGTCACTACTATAAAGGTGTTTCCATTCATTTATTAATATTTACTCCATTGTATTGAGTACCTACTATTAGTAAGATATTGTAGGGGGAACAAAGTGAAGAAGACAATCACTGCCCTCTAGGAGTTTGCAATCCGCAGGTGAAATAAGACTACACACAAACAACCACAATACGAGGCATTTGTTAGAAAATTATATCTGGAGTTATCATCAGTTGAGATAACATAGGGGACAGAGTTGGGGGGAAAAAAAGCTTTTCACTAGAGAGTAATCAAGCAGGGAATGGCCACCCTCAGGTCCATAAACCTGGTATTGGAGATGGCACTTCTTGGTCACATTCCACTTTGAGCAACTTGAATCTCCCCCTTCTTAAATTCCTTCAGATAAAAGAACTTCTCAAAAATGTTTCTAGTACTATAAAGGAATAGTGTCAGTAGTCTACTGAAGAAGAGCCAAGAGTCACTCCAGAAATAACTGCCTTTCACATTTAAAATGTTCTGAGAGGCCAGATGTGGTACCTCATGCCTGTAATCCCAGGACTTTGGGAGGCCGAGGCAGGAGGATTGCTTGAGCCCAGGAGTTTGGGACCAGCCTAGTCAACATAGCCAGACCTCGTCTCTACAAAAGAAGAAAACTAACCAGGCATAGTGGCACATGCCTATAGTCTTAGCTACCCAGGAGGCTGAGGCGGAAGGATCACCTGAGTTCAGAAGGTCGAGGCTGCACTGAGCTGTGATTGTGCCACTGCACTCCAACCTGGGTGACAGAGTGAGACCCAAATGCAAAAAAGAAAAATGTTCTGAGAACACGGGAGCATAGTCTGAGTTTATGCCTCACCTTTGATAGACTGAGAGAGCCATGAAGACTAGAGGCGGACTCTGCCATCAACTCAGATACGTCACTCAGGACATGAGGCTATGAGGCACAGTTGTCCTTTGACATGACAGGTCCTCAGGAGATGACTGATGACTTCAACTGAAGGTGAAACATGGCATCACAAAATAGTAGGTCAGAGTGTAAGCTCTTCTTCCCCTGTCACAGTTGTGTCACTTAAAAGCACATCGGGGGTTCAAGACCAGCCTGGGCAACTTGGTGGCACCACGCCTCTACAATAAATCAAAAAATTAGCCAGGCATGGTAGCACAGGTCGAGGCTGTGGGGCCATAAGCGTGCCACTGCACTCCAACCTGGGTGACAGTGTGAGACTCCAAGTCAAAGAAAAAAAAAAGACCAGGCTCAGTACCTCAAACCTATAATCCTAGCACTTTAGGAGGCCAAAGTGAGAGGATTGCCTGAGCCCAGGGGTTCAAGACCAGCCTGGGCAACTTGGTGAGACCTCGTCTCCACAATAAATCAAAAAATTAGCCAGTCATGGTAGTGCGTGCCTGTAGTTCGGCTACTTGGAAGGCTGAGCTGGAAGGTTCGCCTGAGCCCGGCAAGTAGAGGCTGCGGTGGCCGTGAGCATGCCACAACACTCAGCCTGGGCGACGGAGTGAGACTCCAACTCAAAAAAAAAGAAAGCATGTTATTACGGTGCTTGGTGTTGAATAATGCATTAGCCTCTGGAGGGGGAGAGGAGATGACAGTGAAAGTCTTGGTCCTGCCTCTTGCCATCTGCCCGATGAATAGCCCAAGTCAAGCCCCCAACTCCTGCATCAATAAACATGGGGCTTCATAATACACTATAATTTACATGTCATCAGCATCAGTTAAATAAGCAGATATAAATAACCTAAACACTCTCTCAGAGCTACAATTCCCTAGTGCTACCCCAGAATGAGTTGTTAGAATACATAGTTCCGCCAGGTGCAGTGGCTCATGCCTGTAATCTCAGCACTTTGGGAGGTGGAGGCGAGAGGACAGCCTGAGCTCAGGGGTTAGAGACTAGCCTGAGCAACATGGAGAGACCTTGTTTCTACAATAAATCAAAAAATTATCCAGGTGTACTGGTGCATGCCTGTGGTTCCAGCTACTTGGAAGGCTGAGGCGGAAGGATCACCTGAGCCCAGCAGGTCGAGGCTGTGGTGGCCATGAGTGTGCCCCAGCACTCCAGCCTGGGCAACAGTGAGACTCCAACTAAAAAAAAAAAGAATATGTAGAGAGTCCTGTAATCTAGATCCAGACCAGGAGCTAGACCATCTGGCTCTACCTTAACTAACAATGAGCAGGTTGCTTCAGCTCTCTTGTCCTCAGTTTCCTCCCCTGTAAATTGATTGAGAGTGCTGGATGCTGGACGTGATTATCTGAAAGGTCATTTGCATGTTCTATGATCCTTTAAGGCAAGCGTAAAATGCAAGGATAAAATGTGCTCATTTAAGCCTGCCCAGCACATGGACAAAAACATTCTCGGTACACTCAACACTTACTAATCATGTCGTTGTGTAAGTTAGAAGCCATAAGTTAGAAGGATGAGTATCACCTAAGACACAAACTCCGCCTCCCTAACGGGTTTGTAGCATGAGAAACGTAAAAAATATATGTAGCATGGAGTACTGAACATGGCAGGGTAATTTATTCCAGGCACAAGATCATAATTCTAGGCACACCTACACTCCCTGCATTAACAGAGCATTTTGTTTCTAAAGTAGACCCCTTAGGTCATCCAAATTTCACTCATTCTGACCGCAGCCAGGAAGTTGAGGGTGAGGCCAGAATTAGCTGAAACCTACCAAAAACTGCACAAGAGCAGGTTTTAGTTGATTGCTTGGGGCAGGAGTTTTCAGTCTTCATGGAGAAAATGCTGGTGCTATACCTCCAGGGATTTCTGAGTGCAATTTAAAAACATCCAGCACACTTGAAACACTATCAGTTCCCTCCCTCGTGAATACAGTCACAGGAATCCATGAATACTTCATCTGAGCCTTTTAACAACCTCTAATGGGCCATTTTTCCTCTGGTGCATGACTTGGACACTGTAGGAGAAACCATACTTTCTCCCTTCTAACCAGCATCACTACAAAAAGGAGTGATCAAGTCAATCACCATGGAAGCAAGATAAAAACAAGGGAGATATTGTCTGCCCATCTCTGTCCCACACATTCTTTCCAGGCACTGGGAGTCATGGGAGTTTATAACTCTAAAACACATATTCTTTGTGATGCTGGCCCAACATATAACATCCGTGAAGAGTATAGACCAGCGTGAACTTATCAACTCAAAGAAGGGAAGGGATTCTAGAGACACTCTAGTCCAGCCTCCTCAATTCATGGTTGATACACAAAGGGCCACTAAGCCGTGTGACTTACTCAAGGTCACATAGCTAATAAGATAAGAAATCACACTAAGATGGCCCTATCTGTACCAAGCAGAAATGGCAGCTATCAATCTACTCCAAACCTAAAACACCCCATGGCATCATTAGCACCTCCATAAACTCCATAGGACAGTGATCTGAAACATAATCCCTAAATAATCTTCTGAGATCTTTTCATAAGGAATTTCCTTTTTAAAGAATGTGACTGGCCGGGCACCATGGCTCACACCTATAACCCCAGCACAATAAATCAAAAAATTAGCCGGGCTCGGTGGCAAGCACCTGTAGTTCTAGCTACTTGGAAGGCTGAGGCAGAAGGATTGCCTGAACCCAGCAGGTCAAGGCTGCAATAGCCATGAGCCTGGGTGACAGAGTGAGATTCCAACTCAAAAAAATAAAGGATGTGGCCATGCTATCAGGAATAAATGTTTATTAAGAGAATGTAAGTTTCAGCCCAGCACAGTGACTCACACCTGTAATCCTAGTACTTTGGGAGGCCGAGGCAGGAGGATTGCTTGAGCCCAGGGGTTCAGGACCAGCCTAAACAACATAGTGAGACCTCATCGCTACAAAAAATTAGCTGGGTGTCCCAGCCGATTGGCACATGCCTGTAGTCCCAGCTTCTGGGGAGCCTAAGGCAGAAGGATGGCCTGAACCCAGAAATTCAAGGCTGCAGTGGGCCATGATCATGCCATTGCACTGCAGCCTGGGGGACAGTGTGAGACCCTGACTTGAAAAAGAGAGAGAGAGAGAGAGCCAGGTGCAGTGGCTCAAGCCTATAATCCCAGCAATTTGGGAGGCCGAAGCTAGAGGATTGCCTGAGCTCAGGGGTTTGAGACCAGCCTGGGCAACTTGGCGAAACCACGTCTCTACAATAAATCAAAAAATTAGCCGAGTGTGGTAATGCACACCTATAGTTCCACCTACCTGGAAGGCTGAGGCGGAAGGATCACCTGAGCCCACCACTTTGAGGCTGTGGTGGCTGTGAGTGTGCCACTGCACTCCAACCTGGGCACAGAGAAAGACTCCAACTCAAAAGAGAGAGAGAGAGAATGTAAGTTGAAACTACAAAATGGGGAATTTCAGGTGGTTCTTAGGCAGACTCCAAGCATGAAGTTCCTGATATGCTTCCTCAAGTGTGTATATATATGTACACACACACACAATTTAGATGACCTTCAAAGGTTGCTTATGACCTAAAAGAAGAGCACAAATGATAGATGTAAACATGGTCGTCAGAAGTACAAATCCAGTAAGGTCATCATTGCAACCATTAACTAACGTTTCTTGCCTTCCTACCTTTTTTTTTTTCTTCAGAATCAGAAAGACCCTCTGGCTGTGGACAAAATAATGAAGGACCTGGACCAATGCCGAGATGGCAAAGTGGGCTTCCAGAGCTTCTTTTCGCTCATTGCTGGCCTCACCATTGCATGCAACGACTATTTTGTAGTACACATGAAACAGAAGGGAAAGAAGTAGACAGAACCGAGCAATGCCTCCCACCCTGCTAAGAGTTATCCCACAGGGTCACTGAAGGACTCTGCCCAACGCTTCCCCCTGTATAAGGATTCTGTGAGCAGATCAGGACCCTTAGAAAATGTACAAACAAATCCAACTCCCGTGTGACAAGCAGAGAAGAAAAGTTAATTGAAGGCCAGATAAGCTTTTGATTTTTGTATTGTTTGCACCCTCTTGCCCTCAATAAATAAAGTACTTTTTTAGTTCTGAATTTGAGACAGAATGTGTTGCTTCTTTAGAAATAGTTTCTCCTGAAGCAGCATCTTGCCCTTGGGCCACCAGCACACGGCAGAGCTCTTTCCACGAAAGCAGCAGGATGGGAAAGTGTCGGACCCAAACGCAAAGCATTAAGAGAAGGCTCTGCGGGAATATATTCTAATTTTATAATTGCCGAGCACAGTCTTGCCCAGTTAAATCAGTATTTTGCCAGCCAGCACTATGCATGTCTGAGGTGTCCAAATTCATGTTTCATAGCAAAGTTTCAGCAAACTCTAGGGCAAAGATAAGAGAAGCAGTCAAAGTAGGATAGCATATGTATGTAGTATGGCACCCCAGTAGTAACGTCACACTAATGTCTGTTGAACTCCTGGATCTCAGGAAATATACTAAGCATGACTTATCCATGGGATAGTGCTTTTTTGTTGAAAATGAACTGCTGGCCGGGTACAGTGGCTCAAGCCTGTAATCCCAACACTTTGGGAGGACGAGGAGAAAGGATTGCCTGAGCCCATGGGTTCGAGACCAGCCTGGGCAACTTGGCGAGACCTCATCTCTACAATAAGTCAAAAAATTGCTGGGCATGGTGGTGCACGCCTGTAGTTCCAGCCACTTGGAAGGCTGAGGTGGAAGGATCACATGAGCCCAGCAATGATCGAGACTGCGGTGGCCATGAGCATGCCACTGCACTCCAACCTGGGTGACAGAGTGAGACTTCAACTAAAAAAAAAAAAAAAAAAAAATGAAGTGCTAGTTCTAACGTCTGGACAGAGAGCAAAATGTTTCTCCTAGCCCTTTTTCATGTTACAAGCTTAACATATATACGCATCACATGTTATATACTTATTAATAACACAATGCTCTATATTTTTGTGAAGAGGTGATATATGAATTCCTGAATTGGTATATGAAATTATCCAGTTAAATAGCTCAATGAGCCTAGGCAACCATGCCTCCACAAAAATAAAAATCAACCAGGCATGGTGGTGCATGCCTATAGTCCTAGCTACTCCAGAGGCTGAGGCAGGAGGATCTCTTGAGCTCAGAAGTTTAAGACTGCAGTGAGCCATGATCACACCACTGCACTCTAACCTGGGCAACAGAGTAAGGCCCTGTCTCTAAAAAGATTGAAACATACAAAATAATAATTTAAAACTTGATTAGGAAAATGTAAATTTACAAAATGGAGAGTTTAATAATAACTTTAAAGTAGATGAATAAAGATGGAAACATTAGATCAATGTAACTGAGGAAAACTCCCATCTAACGCTGGAAAAAAGTGCAGTATAAAGTTATCTACCGCCGGGCTCGGTGGCTCAGCCTGTAATCCCGCGCCTTTAGGAGGCTGAGGTGAGTGGATTGCCTGAGCCCGCGGGTTTAAGACCCACCTGGGCAGCGAGACCTCATCTCTACAATAAATCAAAAAATCAGCCGGGTGTGGTAGCACATGCCTGTAATTTTGGCAACTTGGAAGGCTGAGGTGGAAGGATCACCGGAGCCCAGCAGGTCGAGGCTGCGGTGGCCGGGAGCGGCTACTGCACTCCAGTCTGGGTGACAGAGTGAGACTCCAACTCAAAAAAATAAATAAAATAAATAAAGTTATCTACCATCATAAGGAAAAACATGCAAAAGGGAACAGCATAGTTCAAAACTAGCTTTAGGAAAAATAAATCCATAATAAAGTCAAAATCAGGGAAAAAATTCTAACCTTTTTCTTTAGTCTCAGTCAAGAATTGTATCAGCAAGGTTTACAAAGAGGGATTTATGGCCGGGCTCAATGGCTGAGCCTGTAAGTACTGAGCCAGTGCTTTGGGAGGCGATGGTGAGTGGATTGCCTGAGCCCGTGGGTTCATCTCTACAATAAATCAAAAATTAGCCGGGCGTGGTAGCGCGCACCTGTACTTCCAGCTTCTTGGAAGGCTAAGGCAGAAGGATCACCAGAGTCCAGCAGGTCGAGGCTGTGGTGGCCAGGAGCGTGCCACTGCACTCCTGTCTGGGTGACAGAGTGAGACTCCAACTCAGAAAAAAAAAAAAACAAGAAAAAAATAAAAAGGGATTTATTACAGGAGTATTAAATGAAAGGGGAACTTGCTAGCTAAAGAAATTATCTTGACTCCGGGGATGACCCCAGCCCATGCTGCAAAACTGGGCCACCAAGGGAGCTGCCGGCTGAGGATGCTGCCTGAACTTAGAAGCCATCTACAGCTGGTAGCCCCAGGACCACACAACCCCGTGGCTCGTCTCACACGAGCAAATACAGAAACCCATTGCCCTGCCTCTTTCTACACAACTTGGTTCCCATATCCAAGTGTCAAGGAAGTGCATCTAATTGGCAGACACTCCATCACAGCAAAACCCTAACCAAAAGGAAGTCTGGGAAATAGTTTTTTTTTGTTTGTTTTTTTTTTTGAGTTGGAGTCTCACTCTGTCGTCCAGACTGGAGTGCAGTGGCCGCCCCCGGCCACCGCAGCCTCGACCTGCTGGGCTCCAGCGATCCTTCCGTCTCAGCTTTCCAATTGTAGCTGGAACTACAGGCGCGCATTACCACACCCGGCTCATTTTTGATTTATTGTAGAGATGAGGTCTCGCCAAGTTGCCCAGGCAGGTCTCGAACCCGCGGGCTCAGGCAATCCACTCACCTCAGCCTCCCAAAGGGGTGGGATTACAGGCTGAGCCACCGAGCCTGGCTCAGGAAATAGTTTAACAGTTTCCTACCTCTGCATAGAAGTATTTGGCATGTTGATCCCGCCACAGTGAGGATTCTAATTCACAGAGAACTATCCCAACCTATGGGGTAAAGAAATTATGGCTCCAAGGGAAGGAGACTAAAAGATAACCCCATTGATAGAGACTAGAAAAACAAACTGGTCTGTCACAGTAAGGCAAACCATCTCTTGTCCATGAGAATGTATGTCAGTCCAGATTTACCTATTTGGTTTACCTGCCCCCTGGGGCAACTGTTTACTGGGTATTATGAAGATTAACAGTCAATTCACAAATGGGCAGGGAAAATTGTAACACAGGAAGATATTATGAGGTCAGATGTCCCCAGAGCCATGGCAAACTTCCACACTCTAAGCCTCTTTACCTGAAAATAGGGAACTATCCCAGGAGGAGGAGGGCTCTAGGAATAAGAGGAAGGAAGTTTCAACTCATCCTCATGGTGGATGTGTAGATGTTGAAAATGACACAACGTGTTATTCCCAGCAGATTACCCCAGACTCTGGCATTCAGAAAGGTGCCTTGTGCCAGGAAATCACCTAAGTCACTGTATCTGTGATGGGCGGGTGGTTAAGTGTGTTGAGGGGAAGGGTTATGACACCTTTCTCACTTTAGCCCCATTGCTCAAAGCATTTAGTAGGGAGATAGCACAAAGAAAATAACCATGGTATTTAGGATGTGAATCCCACTTGGCTCTTCATGCCAACAAAAACACATGGGTCCCACAATCTGACCCGCTGAAACCGCTGTCTAGGTTTCAGGGGCCCCAGCCCAATGGCTCCCAGAGGGCAAAGCTGCAATTATGCCAATAGTCATCAAGAAGAACCATCTGGAAAATTCCACTCATTCTGCTACATGGCTGAGTTGTAAAAGCAGATCCCGCCCCTCCCCGCACCCAGTTATGAAGGAAGAATGAATAGCAGTGTAGAAAGTCAGTTTCAAACACACCGCAGAGCTGGCTTTGAAAAACAGCTCATTTTTTCTCTTGCCCCTACTCCCTTGTCCAAATGCCACAAACATTAGCCAACTATCTGTGATTTAATACTTTTCTACCAAACCCTTCTCACTAGCAGACAGAGGACAAGTCTATAAACCTCTCTCTCAATTTGACCAATTTTGAAGTGATTGTTAAAGTCCCTTCAGCCGCTCTTAACCCCAGAAAGATAGCTGTGAATAGAAATTCACTCACTCATTTGGCAAATATTAACAAGTGCTACTATGTGAATTATACCAAGGAAAGTTCTGTAGAAAGTCAGATATAAAGAAGCAGATGGCCACCATGGCTGCTCAAGAAGATTACAGTCTAGGTTGAAAAATAATAGATAAAGCAGACAAAAGTTAAATAACAACACAACAGTACTGACAAGGGTGACATGTGATGGCACCTTTGGTCACTGTTGATAGGCACATCATTTATACAACCTTTCAGGAAGGCAAAAGTTGGCAATATGGACCAAGATTGTATTCTCTTTGACCCAGTGCTTCTATTCCTAGGAACTTATCTTAACAGAGTAATTGAAGATACTTAATGACATTCATATACAAAGATATTTGATGCAGCATTATTTAGAACAACTAAAACCATTGCTGAGGCCAGAAGTTCAAGACCAGCCTAGGCAACATAGCATGACCCCCGTCTCTACCAAAAAAAAATAGCTAAAACCTGAATAAAACCTCAATGTCCAACAATAACGTTATAGTTAAATAAGTTATGTGTAGATTAGATTACATGGGATATTATATGGTTTATGAAAACCATAACTTTGAACATATTAAATGAGATGGGGAAACGTCTATGCAAAGCAAAGCAGACTACAAAATTGGTGCTCAATAAAATTCCTTTCTCTTTCTTTCTTTGTTTTTTTGAGTCAGGGTCTCTATTGCCCAGGTTGAATGCTGTGGTGTGATCACAGCTCACCACAGCCTCAACTTCCTGGCTCAGGTGATCCTTCCACCTCAACCTCCCAAGTAGCTGAAACTACAGGTGCACACCACCAGGCCTGGCTAACTTTTTAAATTTTTTGCAGAAACAACATCTTGCTGTGTTACCTAGGCTGATCTCAAACTCCTGGGCTCAAAGCCATCCTCCTGCATTTGCCTCCCAGGCCATCCTCTCAGCCTTCCTTTCTTTTAAAAATATGTGTGCCAGCTGGGCTCGGTGGCTCAGCCTGTAATCTCAGCACTTTGGGAAGCCAAGGCAAGTGGATTGCCTGAGCCCACAGGTTCTAAACTAACCCAGACAACTTGGTGAATCCTCATCTCTACAATAAATTG